CAAGTTTACATCCTTGCCCTTCTTCCCATAGTTTTAGGGTTTGCGTAAAAATATCTCCAGGTCCTAAGAGTCTTACAGCTGCCGCCGTAGCCAATTGGTCAGCAATGCGGTTACCTTTATTTCTATTGTGTCCCTTAACCCACCTCAGGATGATGGTATTACCATCTGAAGCCTGAGTTAGTGACTAGTGACACTCCATTACTAACCCTGATGTAACACGTGGTCTATTCAAGGTTTGTAGCGCTTGTCTGCTATCTGTGCAGATCATTATAGTTTTCCCTGCTATACCTTTTTGGGTTATCTCTTTTGCGGCTATGGAAATACCAGCCAGTTCTGTCTGAACTACGCTGGCATTTTTGCCCATGCCCCACTTTATTCTTAGGTTTAGTGATCTGGAGTATATCCCGCATCCTGAGCATTCTTTCATTTTGGATCCATCGGTGTATATGCAATAGGCATTTGCCACGTTTGTCTCCCTATACTCTCTTGTTTCGATTTTGTAGGGTTTGTTAAAGACAAACTTTGGTTCAATTGAATCTCAGCCTGGCTGTAGCAGTGGTAGCGCATCCAGCTCTCCCCACCAGAAACGAGTTCTCAATTGCCCCATTCCTACACGAAGGTTTGCACCAGCTGAGCGCAGTCGCATCATTGTCACTAGCGCCACCTCTTATAGAGGCAGCGGTAGATGTGCTGACAGCTTATATAGATGGGGAAAAGCCCTTACTCCTGAGTGTGACTGTGGTGCGCAACGACAGACCGTCCGTCACATTGTTGAAGAATGTCCCCGAAGGCGATTCCGTGGAGTTTTCGATGAGTTCTTTAAAATGTTTTACATTATATTAATAATACATTAGATGTTCGTTTGTAATACTTCATGTAACGTTTTTATATTGATTTTTTTTAATTGTGTGTTCTTATTGTATGCCATACGATAAATAAATAAATAATCAACAAACAACGTAAATTAAATCATAGTTGTACTGAAATTAGAAGTAACTGTTTTTTTATATTGTTCTGAAGTTATTTTTTTGTAGTATATTATGCAAATTTACTATTTTAATTGTAAATGAGCTTAAATATTAGTTAGAAATTACATTTATTTGACGTTTCAACTTTAACTTCGAAATATTTTGATAACGATTTTCGAAGTGGAAGTCCAAACGTCGAATACATTTAATTTTTAATTCATATTGTGACTGTTTCCCAATTAAAATAGTAAATTTATTACAAGATCACTTTGTAACTAATATTTCCTCCCTATATACAATTTGCTTACAACATCAGCTCCAAACAAAATCTCAATTGGTGCTGCTTGCCTGATATCGCTGAGCAAAGATCTCTAGTTCGCAAATAAATAATAGAAAATAACTCTCGATTGTACGAACAATTATTATAGCCCTGCAAGTTTCTGGTATCACCTTTCCCAATAGTTGTGGAGATATTTTACAGTACTGACACATTCACGCTTGATGGCATCTTTTTTAGAATTGAGTATCCCAACCTTTTCCAGCAACAGCGAAAAAGTGAAGTTGTCCATTCTGAGGTAGCTTTTGTAATCATCCTCGTCAATAACATTAAGAAATTTCGTGTCACAATAGTTCACACGATCAACAAATAATTTCTTCATCCAACATTTTGTTTTCTTTTTTTTCAAATATTAAGGATAATAAGCACAATGCTGCCGTTTTCCTCCTCCTAATTATATTTTGCGTAGTGTTTACTCGATACATTTTTTGGTTAAGCGATGTACACCATCGTGAAAACAAACTAGAACTGAAGTTGGACCGCTAGTTGGATAGCAAGTCCGAGCGTAAGTGGAGACGAATTACTAACTAGTAGTTCTTCTAGTTCTAACTAGAGAGGCGAAAATTCAAAGATCAAGACATGTCATTATACAAAAGAATCGATAAAAAGATCAAAAAAGCCATTAGAATAGCTAAGGATACACGTCTAAGAAAACAGTGTTCGGAAATACAGCAATTGCAACATAAACACGATACATTTAATATGCACAAAAATATTAAAGAAGCCGCAGGCTTATACAAACCTAGAAGAGTTGGGTGTTTGACAGATAACCAAGGCAAACAACTGTTAACCGTCAAAGAAAAACTAGACACTTGGAAGAATTATGTGAAAGTAACTTTTGAGGATGAAAGGCAGACTACCATTGAAGACTAAAGAGTAAAAGAACTAAAGATGGTAAAGCGGTAGGGCCTGACGAGTTTTGTGCAGAATTCCTTAAACTTATGGATGAACAGGGAATAAAATGGATAACAACTGTATTCAACAACATATGTATACGTAACTGGAAAAATACCCCAAAGCTGGTTAAAGTCGACCTTCGTGACCATACTAAAAAAAAGTAAATGCCAAGACATGCGAAGACTACAGAACAATTAGCCTAATAAGCCACTTACTTAAAATGTTCTTGAAAGTGATACACAGCAGAATATATAAAAAATGCGAAGAACAAGTATCATGGACGCAGTTTGGATTCCGCGATTCCTTAGGCACCCGAGAGGCTCTATTTGCTGTCCAAGTGCTTATACAAAGATGCAGGGATGTTAACTGCGATGTGTATATTTGTTTTATCGACTACAAAAAGGCATTTGATAGAGTAAAACATGATAAACTTATAAACATCTTGAAAGAAGTGGGGCTAGATGATAGGGACTTGAGAATCATCTATAATTTATATTACAACCAAACAGCCAATAGTCTGGATGGTTTGCAAAGAATAATGTCGCATATTTCACATATAAGTAGAGAACACGGACTTGATCTTAATACGAAGAAAACAAAGTACATGGTAGTCAGTAAGCGCGAAATATTAAATACACAGCTTTTGGTTAACCAACATCCAATTGACAGAGTGGACAGCTACACATACCTTGGTACCAACATTAACAGCCAATGGGATCACTCCAGTGAAATAAAACAACGCGTAGGAAAAGCGAGATCAGCGTTCATAATGATAAAGTCTCTTTTCAGAAGTCATGATTTACCACTTGCTACCAAAATCTCTCTCATTAGATGCTATGTATTTTCTACCTTATTATACGGAGTAGAGGCCTGGACACTTTCCGAAGCTCTCTTAAGAAAACTCGATTCATTCGAGATGTGGTGTTACAGACGTATCTTGTGTGACTAATGTTGAGGTCCTTCGTAGAATAGGCCAGGAATGCGAGATTATTAACACCATCAAAGAGCGCAAACTAGAATATCTTGGCCATGTTATGAGGAATGAACAGAGATACGGCTTGTTGCAACTCATTCTTCAGGGCAAGGTATTTGGAAAGAGAGGACCAGGGAGAAGAAGAATATCTTGACTTCAAAACCTAAGAAAGTGGTTTAATACATCGGCAACCGGACTATTCAGAATAGCAGCAAGCAAAGTTAGGATAGTCATGTTGATCTATACGGTGCTACGGATCTTACGGTGCCTATCCGGAACGGATAGGCACCGTAAGAAGAAGAAGTTCTTCTAAGTGGGACCACAAGTTGGAACGTGAATGCTCAGCTTAATGTTTTCTCTAGGATCTGAAAGAAGAAGAAGTTCTTCTAACTGGGACCACAAGTTGTAACGTGAATGCCCAGCTTAATGTTTTCTCTAGGTTCTGTCTTATTGAATGAATTTTTGAAGTTTCTGGAGTAAACACTGTGTAAATTTGTAGCCTTTCATAGAGAATGTTTGCTAATATATTTATTGTAAGGAGTGGTTAAAAGTTGTCTACCTCTGTAGTTGTCACATTAGAGCTGGTCGCTTTTTTATATAACGGGAACATCACGCTTTGAGACCATACTCGGGCATGGACTCATTTTGCCAGACAAGAATTAAAAGTTCATGCACTCTCTGTAGCAGGGCGTGGCCTTTGTTGTAAAGCTCACTGCAAATTTGATGAGTTCCTCATGATTTATTATTCTGAAGCTTTTTAATGATTTGAGTAACGACGTTTACGGGAAAGAATCCGTTAAAAAATGTAATTCTTTATAATCAACCAAGTGTCGTAATAATTATAATATTCATCATTCAAATTATTATGTAATTTAACGGTCATCTGATCTCATTATGAGACTAGTTTCAACATCTTAATCGATGTTTTTTACTGATAATGATTTGATAGGATCGAAAACATTCTGAAAATTTAATAATCTATTTTGGATAATTTTTAAAATAATTTTAATATTGAATTTTATATTGTTTTACAAAAATAAGTTTTTTTACTTCATTGTAGGTTCTTTTCTCTTCTCTTCTTAGAACACGGTATTGCCCTCTTACTCTTCTTGTGCATTCTCTTAATTCTCTTAATTTATGCTATTTACTGTTTTTATTGGAAAAAGCTACAATTTTAGTTTAAAATAAGTTTATTTTTGAGCTTTAAATTTCCACTTTTCACTTTCGAAAATCGTTTTCAGAATAGAAAACATTAATTGATTGATTATCCTTGGGACCTGAGAAAGCAACATTCAGAATTGTTTCCCAGAAACTGGTGCGACGTACCTGATATTAGTACCATAATAGTAAGACTGAAAAAAGTATCTCTTTACATTCGACAACTAGCATTAACGCCTACATTATGCATAGCGTATGGCATTCAAAGAAGAATAAGTAGTCATTTAGGTTAGTGTAAAATTGCTTATTGATGAATGTTGATCAGATTGTAGTGTTCATAAACATCCTACCGGTATTTATTAAAATAATCTTTCTTCATATGCTAAATGAAGTAAATTTAATACCAAATTATTTAGTAGACTGAATTATTTAGTATAACAAATAATCAAATTACAAGTATTTTAACATTTTTGTTTGCGATTAACAATTCACTCCATTCTTCTTAAATAATATATTTCCAGAAAAAAAATTATTTAATCTTGTCTCGGTATTAACTCTAAGATGTGACAATTCGTAATTATTGTTTATAATACCTAATCAACGTGTATCGCGGTGTCATTTGGTATATAAGAGTGACAACTGAGGACAAAAACATATTAAGGTCAGTCTTTGAAGTAGACAGATACAAACTCAAAATGAACAAGTACTTGATTTTAGCCGTTCTTCTTGTAGGCGCTGGTAAGTTTATTTTTTCTTTAAATTATTTGATCTAATTATTAAATTTAGTAAAGCAAAAACGTAGTTAACATATTTTATATATATATATATATATATATATAATATATATATATATATATATATATATACTTAAAGATTTTAATAGTCGCTATATATTTTGATGTTGATTGCTAATAGACTTATTTAATTTATTATATTTTTAAAATGACTTTATACTGTATTTTTCTGTCTTTGTCCTTACCTAAAACCTTTTTGGCGCAATTTTCGCTGCAGTCTCAATAAAAATAAAGTATCTTCATTAATCTTCATATCTTTTTCAACATATTGCAAATGGGGATTGCAGATTGGGGTAATATGGAGATACAGTAGTCGTTTATAGCTTCTTTGGCATTTTTGTCTGTTGATTAGGTACTTACTATTCCAACATGTGTTGGGACCCAGAGAAACTTGATGCTTGTATCTATAGTATGCAATTTATTTAGTTCCTTCTTTATAATATATGTTTCTGATTATTTGTAGTAATGATATAGCATATGTAGCGATCAATATTTTGTTCATCTTATATTTGCGTGTAATATCGCTTAGTAAATTGCCTGTTAATATGCGAATAATGCCTCCTGTTAATATAGCTGCAGTATCTGGAATTCTATGTTTAAGAATCTCTGTGCTTTTAATTTTCGCTATTTTGACTCCATTTTTAGTTTTAGACTTGGAATTTTGATAATCCAAGGTAAATATGATGTTATGTTTTTCTGTTGATATGTGGAAATTGTTTCTGTTTAAGCAGGTTCATTGCATGATAAATTCTGCGAGAATTCTAAAGAGTCGTTAGCCGAGAATATGTCTTAAATATTATTTATTGGAATTCATTGATTTAGAGTTATACTAGAAGTGTAATTAAGGGTTAATAGCGACATACGAAGCTCTACCCTGGGTTCACCTATTCCAGTTGTATGCTATTTATCGCAGTTGTTCTGTACGCTCCAAGTATAAACCTTAGGAAAGAGATACACAACCTATCCAAAGGTTTTAACGTTGTTGTGCTGGCAGATGCATATGCAACACATTCGTAATTAATTTTAGAACGAATTAAGGATCTGCATGACATGAGTAATGTTTTACCATCGGCTCTCCAAGTTTTGTGAGCTAGGTACTTTAACAACTTAAGGCCATTAAGACCATTTCGACATGAAAGAACTAGGTGCTGGATATGACTTTTTCAATTTAACTGTTGATCAAATATCACCCCAAGAAATTTTATTTCGTTTTATAGAAAAGATGTTGGTTTTCAAGCATTAGGTTCGGTTTATCCTCGATATGTCTTTTTAAAAATATTATCCATTTTGTTTTATAAGAGCAAAACCTAAAACCGTTACTTAGGGACCAATTTACTAGATTATTTAAATGTTCTTTTAATATTGACGCCATACGATTAACGTCCTTGCCTTTGATGTAAATAATTAGGTCATCAGCAAATAGTCTTGCCGAAACAGGTTTCGCAATGATTTTTATTATATCATTTATTGCTAGCAACATTCACTCGAACTGTTCTTTTGTTGTTCTTTGTTCTTTGAGTTAAAAAATTTGGTAATCTATTTGGTTGTGCTTCAAAGAAGTCATGAGATGCATCATTAAAATGCTGATATTTTGGTCTGAATATGTTTCGTTCTCTTAAGCTAGAAGAACTAAGTAATACAATCCTCGCTTTCAGCTGCTGTCTCTTTAGAGAAATAATATCGCACTTTCTTTTCTCATTTAGAGATATCTTTCATTATTATATATTCATACAAATCTGTAAAAGTGATAGTTGGCTTAAATATTTTTGTACTTTTTTGCACTTTAATTTTCTATAGTTGTAATAGATTATTATACTCACTGTATAAGTATAAACAAGATTTTAAAAACAACTATAAGATAATATCTTTTTATACCTTTTTAGTAAATAATGCTTATATTATTACTAAATATTATAAAACCTAGCTTAAACTATATCAATATTTAAAAACTAAACATACTTATATAAAAATTAATAGTTTGCGTAATTTTTTGTCTTATTTCTAATTCAAATCACTAAAAATTTCAAAAAATTTCATAAAAATTACTTAAAATTATTAAAAACGGTTCAAAATTGTTAAAATATGTTAAGATTGTTAAAAATTGTTGAACATTGTTAAAAATTGTTAAAAATTATTAAAAGTTGTTAAAAATTGTTAAAAATTCCTAAAAATTATTATTAATTTTTAAAAAGATTACTAACAACTGCTAAAAATTTATTGAAAAATTACTGAGTATTATTGAATAGGTACTGCTAAAAGTTACCATGTATTGTTAACAATAGCTAAATTTGTGGCAGTACAACTAAATAATAGTAATTGATAAAAATTACTAAATAGTGTAAATCAAACATAAAAAATATTACTGAATATTGCTAAATAGTGCTAAATTTTGTTAAAATTTATAAACATATTATTTAATATTGCTTAATTGCTAAAAATTGCTGTATATATTTATAAAATGTTAGGAATTACTGAGAATCATGCTTAAATATTATGAAAAATATATCAATATTTTTATCATTTTTAAAAATTTCTAAATATCATTCAACCTTTGTAAATGTCACTTTCTATTATGTTTCTAGTCCTCGTTCAGGGAAAAAGCGTCCAAAAAAAAGAAGATAAAAAAGAAGACTCAAGCAGTTCTGAAGAAAATGTCAGAGAAGTAGCCGAATTATTGAACAAAAAATTCAACACTACTCTTCTTCTTGACCTGATCAAAATGGCTGACCAAACCAAAGCTAAATGTCCCGACTTGGAAGAAAAACTTGACGTAAGTAATCAGCTGAGTTGTGTATAAAAATCTTGGTTACTATTTCTTTTTAATCACTTATTTTTATTTAGCGTCCGAAGTTTAGTGTGACATATTGTTTTACATTAGGTTTTCTTTTCTAGAAGTCTTTTTTGTACATTTGTTGTCTTAGGATGATTGTTTCGTCAATAAGAAAAGATTTAGATAACAGTAAAATAATTAAAATCTAAACACTAAAAATTTAAATCCCTCCGTTATTGATATGTTCTTTCCTTTGCAGGAAATTTCAGACAAAATTGAAAAATGCGTCGACGACATCGAACTTGGATCAGAAACTTTCTGCTCTCTCATCAAAAACAACTTGGGTAAATGTACCAAACCAGCCATCGACCTACTTGCCTCATGTTTACCAGAGGAATCTAAAGACCTTCCAGTAATGCTAGAAAAAATGCTCGTTGCTATTGTCAAACAAGCTTGTAGTTCTACTGTGGAAGAAGTTTTGGGTAAGATTTGCACATAAATGTTTTAACTCATTTGTAGGTTTTATAAGATGTTCCAAATATTTGCCTGATATTGAAAAAATATGTACACATATTAAATGGGTAGGGTGATTGTGGCAACAGTGGGTCAAGTGGGCACACTGAGTCAACGCCCTATTGGGTAGAAAGAATAAAGCAATAGTTGCGTCTCTTTCATAGTAGATTCGACTTCGGCTATCAGCCATTCCACGACGGTCAGTGCGCCGCTCTGAAGTGTAGTGTAAGTAACAGAGAACAATTTGTGAGTTGGTAGTGAAAAAGTAAAAAAAATACGTAAGTTTTGATCTTTTCTTATTCCGTATCTATTATTCCTATTCTCTGAGTTATAATTTTAATGCAGTAAGTAGTTATTAAGGCCTCATTTGACGTTACATTAAGGATTATCACACAGTGGTAAACATTTGTTATTGCGTCCTAAAATTAAAATGGCGATAGTGGTATACAGTGGGTCATCTCTAAAGTGGGTACAGTGGATCAACCCACTGTGCCCACTGTTACTAAATTGGTTACTATACTTATATTTTTATTTTACAGAATGCCAAAGAAATGCCCGTTATGCAGGAAAATAGGTACCCATACCAAAGAAAACATGAAAGATGCTCTTCTAGAAATTGCATCGAGAAAAAAGATACGTGTTGTAGCAAAGGAAAAGGATATTCCATTTTCAACACTACAGCGTTATGCAGTTAAAGCTAAAGCATCAACAAGTATTGAAAATGTGCAACTTATGCCGCGTTATGATATTAATAAAGTTTTTACGGATGAGCAAGAACAAGCACTTACAGAATATTACAATAATTGCGCTCTTATGTTTTACGGCTTAACAACAAAAGATTGTAGAAAAGTTGCATATGAAATGGCAGTTATAAATAAATTAAAAATGCCACAGTCATGGATTTCAAATCAGATGGCAGGTATTGATTGGTTAAAATCTTTTCGCAAGCGTCATAATGAACTATCTTTACGCAAACCAAAATCTTGCAGTCTAGCTAGAGCAACTGCGTTTGACAAGGATACTGTTAAAGTCTTTTTCGATAATCTACAAGAAGTATACCAAAGATGTTCTTCATTTGCTGATGGTACTAGAGTGTACAATCTGGATGAGACGGCAACAACCACGGTACAAAAACCTCAAAAAGTAATTGGTCCTAAAGGTAAGAATATTGGAAAAGTGACAAGCGGCGAAAAAGGCACTCTTGTAACAACTTGCTGCTTCATTAGTGCAAGTAGTCCAGCTTTGCCTCCGGTGCTGATTTTTCCCAGAAAAAACTATAAGGACCACATGCTTAAAGGTGCTCCCCCTGGATCATTAGGGTTAGCTACATCTTCTGGTTGGATGAATAGCGAGCTATTTGTTACTATAATGAAACATTTTATTAAACATACCTCAAGCTCTAAAGAGAATCCTTCATTGTTAATCATGGACAACCATAAGTCACACTTATCCATTGAAGCTTTAGATTTAGCAAAAGAAAACGGTGTAACAATATTGACACTACACCCTCATACGTCAGCAAAGCTGCAGCCTTTAGACGTTGGTATTTATTCTCCATTTAAAACTTATTATAACGCCGCTATGGAATCTTGGATGCTTAAAAATCCAGGGAAATCTGTGACGATCTACGATTTAGCTGAGCTGATAGGAATCGCATTCACCAGGGCCATGACTCCAACAAATATTATAAATTCTTTTAAAAAGACTGGAATCCATCCTTTCGATAGAGACATTTTTACCGAAGAAGACTTTTTACCCAGTACTGTGACTAATCGTCCCAATCCCAATACCATCCAAAATAGACTTGACGTTTCTTTGCAAGATACCATAGAAAATGAGCAGAACAGTACTTTGGTTTTGGAAAATGAAACACTCCCTGACACATTAATAGACTCTCCAACTTTTCTCCAAGCCCACTTAGAGCCTGAGCGTGATTCACAACAAGAGCCCTTGGAGCTAGAGCATGAACAATTGCAACATTCACCAAAGCCCCACTGCTCAAAGTCGAAAAATGCACCGGTATCATCAGGTGCTTTTATAAGCCCCAGTCAATTAAGGCAGCCCCTCAAAGCTCAGCCAAGGGCAAACAAAAGAAAAAGAAAACCTGGCCGTAGCATAATCGCGACGTCGGAGAAGAAAAATATTAGAATGCAACGATCGGAAGTCAAGAAAAAAAAATTACCAAAGAAAAACAAAACAAATGAACCAAAGAAAAAAGCTGTAAGGAAAGTATCGCAGAGTGAATCAGAAGATGACACTGATGACACTATTTCTATTCATGATGAAGACTCCGACTGCTGGGACGAAGAAGTGGAAGACGAAGTTGGAAATAAAATCGAAATACTAACCGATGAAAAGTTATTGCTCAATGACTTGCCTCGCTTTCCAAAGAAAGAAGATTACGTTCTTGTTCGTTTTGCAACTAAACGGAAAAGTGTTTATTTTGTAGGAATAGTTTTGCGTGAGCGTAATGATAAATTTGAATATTATGTAAGCTTCCTTCGTTCAAATCCCAAATATCAGTTTCACATGCCAAGTAATCCTGATGTATCATATGTTAACGAGAACGATGTAAAACTTATATTGCCTAAACCTTGTCTGGGAGGAAGTACCTTACGTCAACAGTCTTACTATTATTTTAATGTTGATTTTTCTCAAATCGATATCCGCTAGTTGACATGTGGAACGCTATTTGAGTTGATTTTATGTTTTGTTAACATTTATAAGACATAATTAATTTACATTTAAAAGCTAAGGAGGTTATAATTTGTAATAAGCATTTATTTTTTTTAATAAAGAGTAAAAATATTAGAAATTTCCTATCTTGTTCTACTCCAATATGCTCCTGATCCACTGTGCCCTCGCGGTTGACCCACTGTATACCCATCTAAGGACACAGTGAGTCAAAAACTATTTTTTTTAATAATTTTTTTTTTCAAAAACCAGCAAATGTGTTTAAAAAAAAAATTTAACCAATGTGTAGCCAAGGAAGCTACCTTTTCATCATTAAAATTTAACTTTTATAGCTCATATAATTTCAGAGCTATGTGATTTAAAAAAAATGTGACCCACTGTTGCCACAATGACCCTACTTAAAAATATCTGTATAATGCATTTTTTTTATTTCAGAACTGATGAATCCATGCGCCCTTGAAAAAGACTTCATTTCTTACCCAGCTTGTAGAGAAATCAAAACAGTTATCGATGAACATAAAAATAAACTTCCATCCAAGTCACTCATCTGCTCGTAAGTTTTATTAAATTGATATAAAATCTAGAACGCATGAAAATATTTAATATTCTTGCAAAATTTACGTTGCAAAAGCTCAAAAAAAATTCTGGTCATATTATTATTTATTTAAATTGTAAACTGCTACGAACGCATTAACAAAATGGAATGAGATATTATAACAAAGTAGATGATGGAATTCAAAAGGTATCGTAAATCACGAAAGAGAAGACCGACGAAAACATTTATATATATATTTATATTATATCAGAGATACAGGGAAAGGAAAGAAAAAGAAAAATTAATATTTTTTTATTTGATAGATCTTTTGTTTTGCGTGGCTAAGTAAACTTAAAAAAATTGTGATGCAACGTTTTAAAAATTCTCCCATAGTTTTTAAGTGAGAATAACCACAACAACCAATGTAAATATTTAATCACTAATATTTGGTAATTTTTTCTTTCAGAACCATCCCTAAGGTAAGGAACTGCGCTAAAGCTCATATTGAAGGTTCTTGTCAAAACACAGTCACCAGACAAGCTGCTTTGAAATTCCACGATGCCATCGATGCTGCCCTTAAAGACGACTGTGATGCTCTCAACAAAGCCTAAATAATTTGTGACAAAGTGCTCAAAATAATAAATAAAATATTTTTTTAGTTACTTTATTGTGTCATTTTCCTACCAGTATCATTCTGTTTTAAATATCACATCATGTAGAATGAAACCAGATGTCCCAATAATAATTTTAAAATAGGATAAGGTAATACAGTTTGTTACCAAATGGAGAAAAACAACTTAAAAAAGTCAAAAAATTTAGCATGTTATCCCCAAAAAAAGACAAAATGCATGGTTATAACTAGACTTCGGCAAATATGCAAATAAAAATGTAGAAAATATGCGCATAAATATGCACGTGTTTACCTGAAAATATGCAAATATTTTACAAAATATGCATACAAAGAAATAAAAAAATCGTAAAATAGTAACAATTTTATTTAAAAAAAAAGTGTACATAACTAAATATTTCCTACTATTCATTAAGGTTTACATTTATTTTAAGTAACTACATCATTTTTAAGTATGAATAAACTTGTTTAGAATTATGGTAACAATAAATGACCAAGTGGTGTTCAAAATTTTCTAACAAAAACTTGTGGCTTCTGTCTGAGTACATATATTTATATATGGAAAAACTTCGTTCAACATCAACTGATGTAACGGGAGCATTTTTCAAACTAACCAAAACATTTGGTTCTAAATTAATTGTTTCCGAAATATTTCCAGCTAGAACACTGACTACTTCAGAAAGAATATGGTAACCTTTATTTTTTTCCATAGTAGCTTCAAATTTTTTTAAAATATCTTTTCCAATATTACCTCTAACGTTCCGACAACATGACGCAAATTCTTTTATTAATGCTGTACTTTCGAACAATGACAGTTTTGGTGATTCTAACTGAGTAATTGTTTTTTGAACAAAACTAAAATTTGATTTTATAAATGAAAGTTTTTGTTGAAGCAAGTTACTCTGAAAAGTTTGTTTAGAATCCAAAAGAGATTGGGAAGTTTCATCTGTTAACGTATCAATTATGTTCTTTATTTTAACAAAATGATCTGCATAAAAATTAGCTGCTTCTAACCATGTTCCCCATCGCGTTAAAATAGGTTGTGGTGGAAGAGGAATGTTAGGTAGCATTTCTTTATAAAGTTGAATTCTTATAGGAGATTTAAGAAATACTTTTTTGACACTGGATATCATGGTATTTACAAGAGGAAACTTTTTTCGTATTTCCTCTGCAACTCTGTTTAATCCATGCGCTACACAAGTAACATGTATTAAATCTGGGAAAAATATTTTTAAATTTTGTCCTGCTTTCACCATATAAGAAGCAGCATCTGATAAAATAAGCAGTAATTTATTAGAAGAAATAGTTGTCGGAAGAAAAAAAGTTGCTAATGTTTCTTGTATAAAACGCGAAATTGTTAAAGCATTTGTTTTCTCAAGTTGCTGGCATGAAATAAGATGATATTTTGGTAAGGTATCTTCTTTAAGAACACCAATCAATAAATGAGCAATATACTTTCCTGAGGAATCAGTGGTTTCGTCTACAGATACGTAAAAATAATTATCTGCAATTTCTTCCTTAATATTAATTAACACCGACGAGTATAGCCAGTTCACATTATTTCTTCTTAGAGACCGATCACTTGGAACATTAAGTTTGCAATATTTTTTTAGAAACGAACTAAAATTTACATTTGCTAATTTTCTTAAGTCTTCATTAAAAGTTTCTTGCTCATCTAATTTTTTTGAAGTAGATTGGAAACATTTAGCCATTGAAGTTTGATGTTTTCCTACTATTTTTCCTTTTTTTGCAATGTGTGAAGCAGTTCTCACATGTTGGTCTATCTGCAATTTCTTCTCACATGCTATCTATAAATAAAAATACAAACCTTTATTTTAACCCAACCTTTAAAATATAAAAATATACAAGGTGTTTTTTGGTTAATCAAATAACTGGTTTGGAAAAAAAACACTCGCTAAGTGTTTTAAATGCAGTATTAATCCACAAATTAGTTTTTGTTACTAACCATTAGTACATCATATAACTTATTTTAAAATTCAACAAAAGTTTTTTTTTTGTTAATTCAATTACAATAAAAATAATTGTGTTTTAGAATAGCTGACTTCATAAAAAAAGTAAAGGTGAAAATGTTTTCTAAATACACACCATTGTATTGTACCATGGACAATTTTTTCTCACTAATGGAAGCTATTTTTCATTTAAAAACAACCTACGAGTACTAAATTTCAAGTAAATACGTTTATTGGTTTTAAAGTTATTGTTGTTATTAACTAAAAGAATTTAATTTTTTTTAATTCTAACACCCTGTATCTCGAAAAGTAAATAAGTTTGACCCCTCATTAACTATATCGTTTTGTTCAATTTTTCGAGAAGTATCTACAGTCAAACGTTGTAAGTGTCATTTGGAAACACCCTGTATGTATGAAATATTAGATATTTAATAGAAAATATTAGATACTTTTTTGTGGCAATTTTGCCACAGACTGAACAGTAGATTTTTCCCATATCCATAGACAGCTCTTTATAAGGTTTAATCCAAGTTGAAGCACTGGTTGTTTTAGGCATTATAAAATCACAATCTTCCTTTTTGTTACGCACAACGAGTGTTTACGCTTTGAATATCAAAACAAAAATGATTTACAAATCTGAGCATCAAATTAGAAATGTTTAGGTACCTAATTCAATAAACTGGGAGATTTTGGAAAATCTCTAAATTAGAAACAAAACTATTAGCCGTTTACATGCTGTTAAGATACAATAAATTGTAGATAGATTTGGGGATTAGATCATAAAATATAAATGAGCGAATTCTTAGCGATTATCCAATAACTGAATGCCTCAGTGACCGAGACTTTCTAAGAATGTTGAGGGCTACTTAAATTGATCTTATTTGAAATTGTAAATGTTTTGTACCTGTAAAGATTACGTACTTAGATCATTTCTTGATTAAAATGACTACAAAATTTTATACAAGAATTGAAATAAATTGGTATGTTTAAAAATTTTCAAATACAGTATAAAAATCTGAACTTTTATGCACTTTATGCAAACTTTTATACAAATATGCCAAAATATGAAATATTTGCATAAAATATGCACAATATGCAAAATATGCAATATGCATATTTGCCGAAGTCTAGTTATAACAGTAACTATCTAGTTCAAGCGGAAGATCAAGTGAATAAGACAGACAGAGGCTGAGGATGCCTGAATGAAGCAATATGGAGACATAAATTTCGGGAAAGAAGTGAAAGGCACGAATTTACAAAACAGTCATCAGACCAATAATGATATACGCGGCAGAAACATGACCCAGCACATACAGAAAAAGAATGTTTAGTAGAATACTTAAAGAATCAGAGGATCATTTAAGTTTCCTTAGTGATGAAATACTCACCAGATTTAATATTAACACCGGAGAGACTCGTCTAAGATTTATATACATTTACCATAACCCATATTAATAAAAAATTTTACTGATCTGAACCACCATTGTAAATAAAAAATGATCAAAACCTTTTTATTTGTTTATATTGTGCCATTTTACCACAACTTCCTATTCTAGAGCTTTTCTACCGTTAAATAAATCAATTTTTTGCATAAATCTTCTACATCTCGGCTACAATTGATTCGTTAAAAGCTGTCTTGTACTCGCAAGCGTTCTTTTAACTTCAAAATGTTCTTCAGAAATGTTGTTATAAAATTCTTGTAACAGACTTTTAATATGTGATTTCGGTAATCAAGTATCAATTGTTGAACTGTACGTACTTTATCGGGAATTTCCTACTTCCAATTTAATAGACCATTGACCAATGATAAAGAGATTCCAATTGAGCCCAGTGTCCCGTAATAGTTCCACTATATACGATTATTTTGTACCAAGTAGATCTTACTCCATTTTGGAGTAAGATCTACTTGGTAGATCTCCTTATATAACTTTAAATTTAAAGTCAATGTCTTTCGTTTAACTATTTTTCCGGGGAAGTCTGAACATTATCTTTGAACCTAAAATTCGTTTTAAGCATCTTGGAATTCGAAGCCAGATGAAAAAGCTATTCGAAGCCCAACTCATGAATTTTTGTCATTGTCATAAAGTTTTCTGCATATGGGATAGTTTCTCACTGAGTTCCTGCTTTAATTTGTCCAATAATATATAATAATATTGCCCATTGATAGTTTTTTTTTCAAGATAGTCGATTGAAATTATGCCTCTGCAATCCCACAATACAGTGGTCATAAACTTTCCTAGATATTGTGACTTACTTTTGACTGCATTTGTCGGTTTCAGTCCACTGCTGCCTGTTTATTCTATTCTCTTATGTATAGTGATAGGTAATTCCAGGTTTTATCAACGGTTACCAATCGACGACAAAAGTTCGACGGTTACGAATAAAGAGTTACTTCTTCAACTTGTCCATAATAAACATTCACTGCTCAATGAATGAATAAGATAAGGACACCAAAGTAGCTTTTTATCAATTAGTATTGCAAACATTATAACCTAACACCAAAAAATAGTTACAGGTAACACAAATGCAAGGTTAGGAATTGAAAAAGTTCATCAACACAATTGAAAGGCATAGTCTACATAGGGATACGAATAAAAACCACCAATGTCTTATTGACTTTGCAGCTAGTAAAAACATGATCATCAGTTCTAACATATTTTCCCAGAAAAACATACACAAAGGCACCTGGATATCTCCTGAAGAAGAAGTTGTAAACCAAATGGACCACGTCTTGATAGAAAAATGATTAGTAATAAGCATTGTGAATGTAAAAAAGTAGACGACGTGTATGCTGGCGCTTAGACCACTTTCTAATTCTGGTAAACTTTAGATGTAACATCAGTTGACAGGCAAAGGAGAATCAATCAAGCAAAGAAATTCTAGATTTAAGAAAATTAAAAGACCTGAAACTCAAATGAAATTTAAAGAAGAAATAAAAAGCAAGCTGACTGAATATGAAGAAAATGAAAAAAGAATACTAGATGATCCGTGTAATCTACTAAATTGAACTGCAGCAAAAATGATGCAAGACACTAAAGGAAGGCAAGATGACCAATGGTTTGAT